ACCCACCCAATCCGCTAATGCTGGGGTGAGTCGCGCCTGCTACGGTTGTGGTGAAACCGGGAATTTCAAGAGGGACTGCCCGAAGGCACAAAACAGGAATGGTGGAGGTGTGGGAAGGGTTCTAACAATGGGTCATGAAGAGGCAGTGAGGGATCACACCATGGTTACTGGTACGTTCCCCCTAAACAACTCATATGCATGCATACTATTTGATAGTGGTGCGGAGAAAGCTTCGTTAGCCACCAGTTTAAACATTTACTCAAACAGAAACCCCAAACACTAAAAGAAACGTTCACCGTAGAAATAACTAATGGAAAGACAGAAAGCACTAAAGATATATTCGTAGGATGCACACTAACTCTAAACAACTATTCTTTCCAAATCGATCTGATGTCGGTCACTATAAGTAGCTTTGACGTTATCATTGGCATGGATTGGTTAAGTCCTCACCATGCCGATATTATGTGTTATGAAAAGGCCGTTCGCCTTAACCTACCAAATAACGAAACCCTCGTCATTTATGGCGACAAACCCGACACAAATCTACAAATCATCTCCTACATCAAGGCCCAGAAATATCTACGCAAATAATACCATGCCTTCTAAGCTCACGTTGTTGATAAGAAACAAGAAGTATAAGACATCATGGATATTCCCGAGGTCTGGAACTTTCCTGATGTATTCCCATAAGACCTTCCGGGAATCCCACCTATACGCCAAGTCAAATTCAGAACCGACTTAATTCCTGGAGCCACCCCGCGTAGCCAAATCCCCATACTGCTTAGCACCGGCTGAAATGCAGGAACTATCCAGCCAATTGAACGAACTGCTGAGCAAGGGATTCATCCGACCGAGCTTCTCACCTTGGGGAGCACTGGTTTTGTTCGTGAAAAATAAGGATGGATCTTTCCGCATGTGCATAGACTACCGAGAACTGAACAAGATTACTGTTAAGAACCGTTATCCCCTACCTCGAATCGGCGACTTATCCGATCAACTGGAAGGCTCAAGCTACTTCTCAAAGATTGATCTAAGGTCAGGGTACCATCAACTGCGGATTCAGGAGGAAGATATCCCAAAGACGGCATTCAGAACTCGCTACGGTCACTACGAGTTTGTAGTGATGCCCTTCGGTCTCACTAACGCGCCAGCGGTGTTCATGGACTTAATGAACCATGTGTGTCGGCCTTATCTTGATAAGTTCGTGATAGTATTCATCGACGACATACTGACCTACTCAAGAAGCAGGGAGGAACATAGTCAGCACCTACGGCAGGTCTTGGAGACGTTAAGGGTAGAAAAGTTGTACGCAAAGTTCTCGAAATGTGAATTCTGGATTCGAAAAGTGGATTTCTTCGGGCACGTAGTCAGCGAGGAAGGGATACACGTGGACCCTTCCAAAGTCAAGGCGATTGAAAACTGGGCAACACCAAGAACACCGACGGAGATCCGCCAGTTTTTAGGCCTTGGTGGCTACTACTGAAGATTTATACAAAACATCTCTAAGATCGCAAAGCCGCTCACTACACTGACTCAGAAGGGAGTGACTTTCAGTTGGGGAAATAAATAAGAAGCCGCTTTTCAAACGCTTAAACAAGCCCTGTGCAGTGCGCCAATCTTATCCCTCCCAGAAAGGACCGAAGACTTTGTGGTCTATTGTGATGCATCCAAACAGGGCCTGGGATGTGTGCTCATGCAACGAGGAAAGGTCATCGCATATGCCTCAAGACAACTCAAGACTCATGAGGTCAATTACACCACGCACGACCTCGAACTAGGAGGAGTGGTGTTTGTCCTGAAGATATGATGGCACTACCTTTACGGCACAAAGTGCACCATCTTCTCAGATCATAAGAGTCTTCAACACATTCTCAATCAAAAGAAGCTCAACATGAGACAACGACGATGGGTTGAACTACTAAATGACTACGAATGTGAAATTTGTTATCATCCAGGCAAGGCCAACGTAGTAGCAGACGCTCTGAGTCGGAAGGAATACTCGGGTCGCCGAGTAAAGTCATTAACTATGACCATCCATTCCCACATGTCCACACAGATCAAGGAGGTGCAACAAGAAGCCTTAAAACCCGATAACGTCGCAGGGGAGGCCTTCCGGGGAATGGATAAAAACTTTGAAGTTAAGGATGATGGAGCTTACTATCTCATGAACCGCATCTGGACACCGAAGTTCGGTGAGTACAGAGATGTGGTCATGAACGAGGATCACAAGACAAAATACTCCGTTCATCGCGGTTCAGACAAAATGTATCTGGACCTCAAGCAAGTTTATTGGCGGCCAAACATGAAGGCAGAGATCGCTACATATGTGGGCAAGTGCCTGAATTGTGCCAAGGGCAAGGTAAAATATCAAAAGCCCTTGGGTTTGCTTCAGCAACTAGACATACCCGAGTAGAAGTGCGAGCGGAAAACCATGGACTTCATAACCAAGCTGCCCAAGACGACGGGTGGACTTGACACCATCTGGGTAATTGTTGACAGGTTAACCAAATCTGCACACTCCTGCCAATAAAGGAGACCGACAAGATGCAAAAGCTCACTAGGAAGTACATTAAAGAAATCGTGCATCTACATGGTGTGCCAATATCTATTATCTCTGAACGAGATAGTAGATTCACCTCCCGGTTCTGGCATTCGTTACAAAAGTCTGTGGGGACCAAACTCGATATGAGTACAACCTATCACCCTCAAACAAACGGTCAAAGTGAAAGAACCATACAGACGCTATAAGATATATTAAGAGCTTGTGTTATAGAATTTGGTAAGGACTGGGATACTCACTTTCCACTCGTCGAATTATCCTACAATAACAGTTATCACACTAGCATCAAAGTCACACCATTCGAAGCCCTCTACGGATGCAAATGCAGATCCCCTATGTGTTGGGCTGAGATTGGTGACACTCAACTGGCAAAAAGACGAGTGCCTGATAGCACACTCACCGGCCCGGATATCATATGGGAAACTATGGAAAAGATCATTCAGATCCAAGAACGATTAAAAGCTTCCCGGGATCGGAAAAAGAGCTATGCTGATAAGCGACGAAAGCCCTTGGAATTCCAGGTTGGTGACTGTGTTCTGTTGAAGGTCTCACCCTGGAAGGGAATGATACGTTTTGGCAAACATGGAAAGCTAAATCCAAGGTACATCGGGCCATTTGAAATACGTGCTAGAATCGTCCAGGTGGCGTACAAACTACGACTACCACAAGAACTCAACAACGTACATCCCGTCTTTCATGTGTCCTATCTAAAGAGGTGTCTGTCCGAAGAGACTCTGGCAGTCCCACTCGAAGAGATCGAGGTAAACGAGAGTCTACACTTCATAGAGGAACCGATGGAAATAATGGACAAGGAGATCAAGAGAACGAAACACAGTCGTATACCAATAGTGAAGGTCCGCTGAAATGCCAAACAAGGGCCTGAATTCACTTGGGAGCGGGAAGATCAGATGAAACAGAAGTACCCACAACTTTTCTGCTAGTTGTATGAACCCGTCCAAGATGCAAATTTCGGGACGAAATTCCCTCTAACGGGGGGATGATGTGACAACCGAAAATTTTGGAACAAGCAGGGTCTGAATTATAACTGTGTACAAGTGAATTCGTAACGTAATTGGTTACAATAAAACTTTGAAAACCAAAAGGGCGTTGTTTTTATAAGTTAACATATATATATATATATATATATATATATATATATATATATATATAATATATATATATATATATATATATTGAGAAACCATGTCGTAATTAACATTGACAAGTCCAGAAGATAGAACCAAGCACAAATTATATATTGCCTTATGGTTTTTGGCCTAGTACCCCACCTACCTTGAGATTTCAGTTGTGAGGAGGTCAAAATCACCAACCTAGAACACCTCTATGCCGAAAACACCCAAGGATCCAAACCACCAGACCAAAAACACATACTAGGAAAGCACTAAGACCGAAATCACCCTTGAATGGGTGATACCAAGACCGAAGACACAATAAAGGGATAGTATAGGACCGAAATCAATACAAACCAAAAGCCACTAGGCCGAAATCTTCCCCCTAGGCCGAAATCACATGTGATTTCGGCCATACTAGGGACTTTCAAGGGGTTTTCGGGTGAATAAAGAGATAAGGGTCTTGACTTTATGAATTTATAGTTTAACCATTTCCCATACAAAATAATGCCCAGCGTATATCCATGCAATTACACAACAGCCACCCAAGTAAACATCCCATCATATTACTTCCTTATCTTAAGGGCGAATTCATTCCACAAACCCCACCATTTTTCCATTCTACTTCCTGTTAACTTCCATTCTCTCTCAAAAGTAATTCCAAGCTTCTAAGGAGTTTAAATCTTCAAGCTTATTCTAGATTCTTGGTAAGTTTATCTCACTAATCTAGTGTTTTCACTACTAGAAAAACAACCTTTTACGAAGCGCAATGCGTTTCGTAAAACGCTCAGACGACGCACAAATGCGTGTCAAGGAAGGACCTGTCATCATGAGAGATGACACGCTTTTGCGCGTCGTCTATTTACGACGCGCATTTACGACACGCAATTACGACACGCATTTACGACGCGCGTTTACGACACGCATTGCCTATCAAGGAAGGCCCTGTCATAAAGGAAGATGACACGCATTTGCGTGTCGTAACCTTACGACGCGCATTTACGACTCGCATTGCATATCATTAAAGCCCCTGTCAAGAAAGGTCATGTCATAAATGAAGATGACACACATTTTTGCGTATCATAATTTTAAATGTATAAAAAATATTATTTATAAATTTACTAATTTTCAAATTAAATTTGTATTTAATGTCTCATAATAGAAAATAAAATATCATATACAAAAAATACAATCCATTGCATAAAATTTAATGTCATACAAATAATCGTTCCATGGAAAGATAAAGCAAATCAATAGAAGTTGTAAGAAAAATTTACAAACTAATTAGATACAAGAAATATAAAAAAAATATACCGTCAAATACTTTTCAAAGTCTAATCTCCATGTCAGCTCTTCAACTCACTTCTCCAGTTTATCCTTAGCTTCTCTAAGGGCTCCAGCATCTCTTACAGCCTGTGACAACATTCTTAATTCTTTCCCAAGTGACACCTTTTTCCTGTATGTTAATTTTCCTGTGCTTGTGTTGAGTAAAAAGTTCAAAAGATGTCCATCCCCAAGTGCACACAACAAGTAAGGTATCTGTAATTAAACATTAAACACTTTTTACAAATTTGCCCTCATAGATGAAGATAAAGATGAAGATGAGATGAGAATCATACCCCTTCAAAGGCACAAAGAAGAACAGAACGTGGTATTATTTCGCCACCTAGATGTTCTTCAGTGATGAGATTTAAATCGGGTAGTGAAAATATCTTGACACTAATATCAGTCCACATCCCAACTGCAGTAAGATTACTATAATTTGGATTTTCACCAATGGGGTGTATGTCAAGACATGAGATATCATATTTCAGTTCTGCGTTCTTTTTTTCTACTAAAACACGATCACCAATTTCAAGGTAAACCAGATGGCCACCTCTAATAGCCAATAGCACTTGTTATGGAAATTAAAAAGGTTAGTCAAACTTATTTATTAAAAGACCAAAATACCCTTGGTTATACCTGAGTAGCGTTAACAGTGGCAACATTTATAGCATTAACAGTGGAGGTGGTAATGTCACGTGTCTTCTTCCCATTGGACCTTGATTATTATTTGTTGCTGTTCGAGGGTAAAGCGCTGTTGGTTGTCGCATAACAACAATATTGTTAACAGGACCTACCAAGTGCCAACACAACAAATAAATATATATTTTTTTTGTAATTAAAAGAAAAGTAGCTAAAATAATATTTAAAGAACTTTACCTTTCGCTTGTTTAAAAACACGAATGATATTACGAGATTTAGTGTCCCAAACACGAACCATTCCATCCTCTGATCCAACAACCAATTGATATCCATCCAATGCAAAACACAAAGAGCATATAGCCTTACTACATATTACAAATACAAGAAAAAGTTGGAATTAGATTATTAATTTAACAAGATTATATTGTAAAAAAGTTTGGGTATCGCATACCTTTGATCAGATAATGTGCCAATGATATGCAAACCATAGTTGTTGTTGTTGTTGTTGTTGTTGTTGTTGTTGTTGGATGTGACTTGAGCATTGAGTTCTGCAATGTATATTTTCCCATCTCTCCCACCAGCATAAAAAACATATTCCCCTGGATCTAATGCAACTGCATCAATTATTGAAGGGAACACAATATTTCTCAACAATGTCCCTCTAGTTAGGCTCCATACCTGCAATTTAAACAAATTCATGAGGGTGTTCACGTCTTTTCCGAATATTTATGCAATATGTACCTTGCAAGTATGATCTAGAGAAGCATATAAGATAATTGTATTGGATCCTCCATAGCCCGTGACAATGTCAGTTACAGGTAAAGCATGACCAGTGAAACTGTACTCATACAGATGTCCTGCTCTCTGTTGTCCTTCCTCATCAAATATCTTGATCACAAGATGAAGAAAATGTATTATAGTAATAAACCCTAAAATTGCAACTCATGAATGTAAAAGGGTAAATGAGTAATTATACCTACATCAGAAGTGACCAGACTCTTACAATTCCATCCTCAGATCCAGAAATCAAAAGTGACTGATCATTAGAAAAGACCAAGCAAGTAACAGGCCTATAGTGACCATGCCATTTCTTTAATAATCTACCAGCTGCAACCTATAATAAATCAAAAGAAATAAAGAAAAGACTTGTAATAAGATCAGTTTTTATATGATTTTTGCACATATAGTTAATCCGATTATGAAAAACAGTGAATTGTTGGAACCAAAGAGAACAGTAAATCAGAATAACAAAGTTTTCAATATAATTTGAAGAGAAATTCAAAATCGGCAAAAGAACCCTGTATTCTTTATGAGTAGAAAACTGAAATGAATTTACAACTCACCGCCCACAAGTAAATATGACCTGAAACTCCTCCTCTTACTATGTAAGTACCATCAGTATTGCAAGCAAGAGGATTGATTGCTTCTGCTGAAAAACTCTTAACTTCTACCTGAGGCTGCAAACAGCAAAAACCTGAACATAAGTGTCAAATTTGATATTTTTCAAATGAATAAGTTATGAACTACATAAATAGTTATATAGTTTAATGTAGTGAATGTTGGGTGATTGAACTCCTATCAGAATCTAGGCAACAGGAAGTAATTAAGAATTAAGCTATAATATTTCCCTTGCAATTCCTCTGTATGTTGAAAACCTAATGGAACTAGTATATTTACATAGTTACTTCTGTTACATTTGTATTTATAACTTCTACTTTAACCAGTTTATTTATTTATTTATTATTTTTTTTTACAAAACTAATAAGATGGTCACCAAGTAGATACCTGGAACCATCTGCATCCACCCTTCCATATGCTCTAGTAATAGACTACAAGTTTATGACACAACACATCAGTTAAAAATGAAAATATGTTGCCATTTTGTATATTTTGCCTCAAATATTAACATCAAATGATTAAAAGAGAAGAAAAGAAAAGATTGTTTGAAGCAAATTGAGAAACTATCAGCTGTCAACTGTATCTTGGATCTTGATAGCCAGTTTGTGCACCTCTTCCACAGGTTCCATTTGGATTGAAAGATAAATTCTGATATTAAGTTGGCCTCACATGGGTAGAAGCAGTGTTCCCCTTCACACCATTTGGGTTTCCTTTAGTTGTGTCCAAAGATAAAGCAGGTTCCTCTTTAGTTGCTGTGATCTCACCCTTTGGAGGAGCAGGAGAATAAGGGGTTGTAGGGGTCATAGGTGGGAAGTAAGAAGTAGGGTACTTGTAATGTTGGGCCCCATAGAGTTCACCATATTGACCTACTGTTGGCATAGGTGAGCCAGCAGGAGAATAAGGTCCATATGGTGCATAATCATAACCATAAACACCCTGTAATGAAACCAAAAACAATATACAATGATAAACATGTTTTCAAGTCAAAATATAGACAAAACTCACAGAAGGAAACAGGTTCTTACATGAGATAAATCAACTCCATTAGGATTCACATATCTTGAGTAGTCATCCCAATCATTGGTAGTTCCATCGTAGCCTATACAACAGAAAAGGGAGATTGAGCAATTGCAGAAAAGGGAGAAAAGGGGTAAGAAGATTGTACGTCATTGTTAATGTTTTATGAGAAGAGATAAACGAAATAGAACTTACTGTGACTGGATTAATGGAGTATACACCATGGTTGGCTCGATTATCTGACCTAGAACCAAAATCCCACCACCACCACCGTTTCCGACGAGACAATGAGAGAAAGCATCTGGAGCGATCCCTTGTGAAGAAAGCTGCGCGATTACAGAGAGTCCTTGTTGACCGAATCCAAAGATTCTGTCAATGGCTCTATCGGGTTTGGTTAAATCCCCAGTTTGGGATGTGCTACATCTGGTTCATGAACTTGCCAAGTCAGTTAGGGTTTTTTTAATGAAAAATGAAAGGGGTTAATGGATTGGGATGAATTACCCGAATACGATAGATGCTGAAGCGTTTGATGGTTTTGAATCGCCGATTATTGTATCAAGTAGAAAAGTATCAGAATGGGATGCACAAGTAGAAAAGTAGGGGAGAATGATTTTGTACCTGATAAAACAAAGAAAAAGAAGGTGAAAAGGGGAGAAAGAACGGATCCTACCTGAGATGCGTAGAGAGTAGAAGTAGGGATCGAGTATGGAGGAGGAAATCACAACTGAAACCCGTATAATTTTTCCGGTTAGGGTTTTATAGAGGAGAAGATGAGAAGTTTCAAAATCAAAATTAGAGGTAAGAATAGAGGAGAAAGAGCAACCTGTATCATGTATTTGACATTCTTGATGGAATCGTTGCTCTCGACCTAGAGAATGATGGTTTTTACGGTTAGGGATTTATCATACGAACGTGAAGCATGAGCACCTGTGACATGAATGATTTGATCTCATTTGACAGAAATACAATCATTAGCATATCATGATGGGGGGTTTTGTTATCGGTGTAGTGCGACAGGAAAGAATGGTTGGAGAAGATGGTCGGAGACACTTGGCGGTGCGAGATTGGAGGTTGGGTGGTGGTGCGATGCTGCTATGAAGACGAAGGCCCTAGGGCTTTTTTTGCTAATTGGAAGAGGAGGGGGGTTTCATTTTTGGGATCCAACAGGCGGGTGAAATCCCGCCTTAAAAAACGCGTGTTTCATTAAAAAATTATAAAGCGACACACATTTTATGAAAGGCGCCCTCCACATTTCCTTTTTTTTCTTTTTCTGACATTAATTTTAGGGCACGCACAAATGCGTGTCCTCTATCCTTCAGATTTTGCAAAACTGACATTATTTTTTAGGGCACGCACAAATGCGCGTCATAAAAGGGCTATTTTCTAGTAGTGTTTACACACCTTTACATTAGTTTCATTGTATTTACACACATTACTATGTGTTAAAACTCTTAGGATAAGATCATTTCCAAGAAAATTCATTAACCACATTCAAGTGTTTAGGCTTGAAGATCTTCACACCATCTCCTCAAACAACCCACAAATCCACTCAAGGTGAGTTCATACCCCCACATTTTTGAGATTTTTCATGTTTTAGGGGGAGGGGGAGGGGAATACAAGTCAAAAATTGTTTATCACACAAATACTTGCATGTTCCGTCTTTATGTTAAAGTATAAGCCATTATTTGCATAAGATGTGTTTATTACAAGCCTTTGTACAAATATTTGTGATATATTAGCTTTCAATTGCAAAACTAACAAAAGCAAAACAAGATTTATGTTATAAAAATCATAAGGAAAATTATGATTTGTAAAACTACAAGGTTTTTGAAAGCTTTTTTACCAAAATATAGCTTTACAAGAAAAAAAGAAGTACATTCTATTTATTCCACTATTATATGGGTTACAACCCAAAAATATGAGGTTTGATCTTACATTTGAAACTAAACAAAATGATTACTATGTATTTATATAAAGGATTATATAAATGTTCTAGACAAACAAACGTGATAAACTATAATTGCTATAGTTTGGGGGTCACAAAACTACACTATCATTTCAGAAGAGACAAATAATTATTTAAAGGTATAATTATTTCATTTACAAGAAAATGGGATTTTTCAATTCACGTAAATCGATTGATATTGGTTGTGAGACATTAGGCTTCACCATACCAACCAGAGTACACATACTAAGACCTGCATTAGAACTAGACTCTCTTGTAGGGAGAGCGTAACACTTGTGTATAGATATATACGGGATTGGCAACCCCACACCTAAATTGTTAGCTACAGTTAGACCGGCAGGTTTGGGGTGACAATGTCGTATTCCGACGTCCGAAGCGTGTCGTACAGGCAACTAGTCGCATTAGTATGGTTATAATAACTCACATAGAGTATCGACAAAACATTTGATTTACGGGTCAACATATCTTCAGTTGGTTTTACTTAGATAAAACTACATTACACAGTTTTTTTAGTACATTACAGTTTTATTTCTGGAAACATGCATTCAAATGGTTTTATATACGAATAAAACAACATATTACTATTTTAAGAATGGAAAATACTTGTACAATTCGGTCTTGGAACGTTTAAGACTACTACTCATTTACAAAGAAAATATTGGATTTTATGGAAGTATACACTATTATTTTACAAGAAACAATTACAAACTCCTTCTCATACAAAAAGCTTATGAACTCACTAACTTAATTGTTGACACTTTTCAAAATCACTTGTATTCTCAGGAAACTAGTAAGCAGGTAACCACAAGAGTTTTTGGTGGATGGGACGTCGTCGCATCTCGTTATTTATTTTTGGCATACACATTTGATATCATGTAAATGATGTTTTTGAGTACAATGTAACTTATTAAATATTCATTACAATGGTTGTGATGCTTTGATTGCTATTATTCTATTGTTATGATACAGCACATGAAGTCATCCGCCCCCAGACATTTCCGTCATTCTGGTTTGGGGGTGTGACAAATAATGTTATGATGTCTCATTCATAACACCTTGAAATGTTGGTGACACAGCTAGAACTGATGTAGGTGGAATTATGTACGTTTGTGGTGGTGACGAAGGTGGGGGTGGTGGTACAACTATAGTCTCGATTACTTATATCGAAATCCCATCACTCATGTTAACATTTGAGTCCGTATTAGATAAGTTCACAGTGATGTTTAAAGTGCCACCCTGCTCCACATTGGACTCGAACAAAGGAACCTCGGGTAGTGTGACTGTATTCTGCTCAGGGAGTGAAGTAATAATTGGTTCACTAGAATTGATGTTTCTATCCGCATCAGATGCGTTCACAGTGACATCAGGAATACGTTTCTCCTTAAAACTTGATTCGACATTGCTATCCTTTCTATGTGAAACACTAAAAGGCTGACCATCATTGCGAAAGAAATCATCTTCTGTATCTTCGCTATTTCTATCAGCCTCAAAAGTTCTTGATGGTAACGAAGCTTTGGTTGAAGGTTCTTCACCAATCAAATCCCTAAGCTTCTTAATGTGTTTTAGAACACTAACAACTTTTCTTTTTCTACTTTGTTCCTCATTAATTTCCTAAATAACCACACCAAAATTTTCCCACTTTGTCTTTAACTTCTTGGATTTTCTGACCACAACCTCAGGAACAGAAGTTTCCTTAACACCTTCGTTAGCAAAATTTTCAACTTCCTTCTCAGAACCACTTACAACAGACTTCTTAGGAACTTGTTTTGTAACCTTCTTGGATACCCCTTCCCAGACTTCTCAGGAACATTTTTCTTTGAAGTTTTTTTTCTCAACAGCTTTAGACTTCGCTTTTGACTTCTTCTTTGTAACTTGGGAATCGATAGATGTTCCTTTAGTTGCTTTAAAATTCACTTTCTTTGGGATTGTACCTCTAGAATTTAAGTTCATAGAATCTTTGTATTTCACCAATAACGAATTCGTGGGAGATACAAAATTAAGCATGGCATCTAGAATTCGAAAAACAACAAGGAAAATGACCAGATCATTAAGTGTTGATTTGGGAATGTGTAGCTGTGAGAATGTAGCAACCTCACCATCTTCAAGTACTTGAACACCTGCTTGAGTATAGACTTCGTGTAATATTAAACACTAGAATCGATCATTGGAAACCTCTATCGACTTCTTAGAATGCTTGAGTAGTTAAGAAAATTCAGCCTATAGTAACGAAGCATAATCCAAATTTAACCCATAGTAGAGACCAGCCATAACAAAGTAGAATTTGAGTTTTGCCTTATCGAGACCAAATCTTCTGCCAGTTAGACATCGAAGTGTGATTCCAAAGAAGAAATTCCATACGCCAGGAAGGTTTCACTTCTTGAAATTGCTTACAAGTGTAATGGTTGTCTTTTGGATGAAATGAATGTATGGTTTTGATTTATTTAAAATGAAATTTTTACTCGGTATTGTGGGACGTTTCAAGTTGGTATTAGAGCCTTGGTTTGAGGGATTTAGGCACACTTTAAGGTGTGTCTGAACTCAAACTGAGAAGTTAATAAAATATTATTAAAGAAAATGAGTTTTCAAAAAAGATTTTTAAGAAAAAGGGGTATGATGCATGCAATCAGTCGAGCTCAAGAAAGTATTTCCCAAAATACCCATACATGAATGTTATGTCTTAGTATGATTATGAGGATTTCATGCTAGAATAGGGATATGGATCTACTCAGGATTGCATGATAGGATGCCTATTAGGAGAGATGCCTCTATATGCCTGATCTGTGAACTGTTAGATGTATTATGATGAATAGGCTAAAGATTTTCTAGAATTGCTTATTGGAATTGCTTAACTTTATGATGCTTTGTTTCTTATTACTTCTGCTGCTCTAATACTACTTGCTTTGTGATTTGTGGGGCTTATACTGATGTTAATTAGCTATTAAATGAATATTTTAAGTTACATGCGACAAGGGTTAAATAGTTTTAGAATGATTGATTTGGATCTATTGCGCAACTCTTGTTTCAGTCCAACCATTGTAACGCAAGATCTTTCAGTCGAAAAATTATTTAAGTTCGTGGCATCTGGTTGTATTCATGAGGTAGTTAACTGACATTAGTAGGAGTCCTTCAGCAGTTGAGAGCAGGGTGAGGTGGAAACCTGTCACACCCCCAAACCAGACTGCGGAAACGTCCGGGGGTGGATGACTTCATTTGTAGTATCACAACACATGCATCATAGTAATCAAAGTACAAACAACCACTGTATTTAAAAAGTAATAGTATTTACATGTGTTTCATCATTGTATATTGAAACCAAAATAGTTATACAAAAGTGTTGGGTTATGAGCATTCTAACACTCCTAAGTGTACATGCAACCCTAAATACCTTGGATCTATGTTTTCTCTATTATACATACAATTATGAACATCCAAGGTATTATCCTAATCTAGCATACAAAATAATAAATATAACAAGATAGAATACATACCTCTTTGATGTAGAATGTCTTCATGAAGCTTGAGTGCCTAGTGCCCCAAGTGTGACACCTCAAATGGTTCACACAACACCAAATACACTTGGAATAACTTGAGAGAAACTTGAACACTCCTTGAAATCATCTAGCCCTCACACTCACACATTAGTGTACGATTTCTTGAGCCATGAGATTCTTTTATATGGTGGCTATTAGGGTTACACCATGTAACTCATAACTTTACCCATTCCTTATGCTCCATGGATTTTAACCTCCATGGAGTATCCATGGGTCACCCCATGGACTTAGTCCAACATAAGGAATCTTGGATCACAAGCCCACATATATAAGAATGAATGATTTACACAATCAACCCATATATTTAATTAGTCTCCTTTTGATCACTTAATTAATTCCAAATTAATTCTTGATCAATACTAATTAAATAACCTTATTAATATATTAGAACTTATAATATACTAACCAACCTTAAGTGTTATTTCTCTCATTATAG